CTCTTGGAGGAGAGACGAAACGTTTCATTAGAGAAGAACCCGTCCAGAAGACCTATACAATTTTTTTCTTTTTGACTAAAATACATTATTTTTGCAGATGATACCAGTATCTTCTATACTGGAGAAAACATCCAACAACTCTCAGAGGTGGTCACTACAGAAATGAAAAAACGAACACTTTGGTTTAAAAACAATAAATTATCATTAAATTTAGATAAAACCAAATTTATGGTTTTTGGAAACCGCAATAAACAAGACAATAATACAATTAAAATAACTTTTGATAATGTTGATTTAGAACGAGTCCATGAGATCAAGTTTTTGGGTGTTATATTGGATGAGAAATTTAGCTGGAAACCACAGATTTGCCAAGTAAAATCAAAACYAGCCAAAAGTGTTGCTGTCTTGAGGGGAATCAGATCAGTTTTGGATTACAAATCATTATTTATTTTGTATAAAACACTCATTGTACCATATTTGACCTTTGTGTGGAAGTTTGGGGTAATACAAAACAAATTTACAGCCGTTGTACATAATACAAAAAAAAAATCAATTTGAATACTGTTTAATGTGGGACATTGGGAACATACAAACCCATTATTTTTAAAATCAAATGTATTGAAATTCTGGGACCTTGTAAAATTTAAAACTGTACAATTTATGTTTAAAGTAAGAAATCATCAACTTCCACACAATATACAAAATTGTATTGTGACGGAGAGGAGGCCTATAATTTAAGAGGAAAAGTAAAATTTAAAAAAACGATATATTAGAACAAGCAAACAAAGTTTTTGTTTATCAGTGTRTGGGGTAGATTTATGGAAATGATGAGCTCTAAAATATTACAAACTTAAACAAGCTTTAAAAATGTTTTAAAAGGAGCTTACTGGGAAATATGTTTTATAGGATGGGTCTCAATACTATTTATATTAAAAATGTGTAAATAATTGCACATGTGTGAGAACGTACGATTTAATGTTCATGTGGGAATAATTTTTGTTTATCTGGTGTGAGAACATTTAAGAGTTGAGAAGGGCAGTAAATCAAAAGATCTTGTATCTTTTACCTGCTCCTTTTCGAACAAATAATATAAAAAGGACCTAGAACGGATTATTAGTTCGAGAAAAAATTGATGGTTTCTTTTTCTTACTTTTTTATTTTGTTTTGTTGCATAAAGATTACTGTCTTTATGCAACTGTCAAACCCATAAAAATAAAACATAAAATATGTTGTAAAAGTAACAACATCGATGTTTTATACGGTTTGTAGCACAAGTAATATTTTWGCACCAATATTATTGTTATGAATCCAAAGCGTTGGCGTGGTTGATGACGACAAGCGTCAGCTGAGCTCTGATTGGCTCCTGCTCGACCGGAAGTAGATTACCGCCTACTCGTTTCTCTCTGCTCCGTGGCATTTTGTTGCAGGAGCTGCCCGGTGGTTCTGGTTTCCTTCAAAAWCCCGGAGTTTTTAGTGAAAGCAGAGATGAACAGGAGCGCGACAAGGTGAGCAGCGTTATGTTTATCAGTTCTGGTAAAAAATAAATCACGTTTTAGGGCAAAGGGGGAAAAAAAACCCAGAAAGCCTCGCGAAGCTCAGAATAATGGTTAAGCTAGCCACTAGCTCGCATGTACATCCGGTTTCGGTTTTACAAAATAAGAGTACATGTTCTCACGTTATTAGCCTCTCAGAAATAAATTAACTGAAATCTGTTTAAATATTTTTCACAGTATTGGAAAACATTTAACATGAACGACTCTAATCCTTAATATCTAATAAAAACAATCTAATCTAGAAAATATGAATTTTCTGTAAAAACTGCTTGTCGTTAAAGCTGATAAAGCAGGACATTAGCTAAAAGCAGGAAAAGGCTAGCTGCAAGCTAAAACCAGTGAATGGCTATTTTTTTTTTAAAAAAGCAAAAGGCTATTTAAAAGCTCAACTGGTAGAATAGCAGCTAAAAGTTGCTTAAGAAGATGAAATACAAAGCCAGCAGGAAAAGTATTTGTAAATAAAGTTAAATATTTTGAAGTGTAAAGGTTACAAAAAATAAATCATTTATGAGCTGAATGTTTTGATTTATGAATGGCTTAAATAAAGCAAAGTGTGAAGT